ACCATGTGGACAGACAGAATCCTGATTCAGACCATGTAGATAAAAAACCCAGATTCAGACCGTGTGAACCGAAGAACTCCGGATTCAGACCGTATGTCCAGTTTCAGACCATGTGGACAGACAGAATCCTGATTCAGACCATGTAGATAAAAAACCCAGATTCAGACCGTGTGGACCGAACAACTCCGGATTCAGACCGTATGTCCAGTTTCAGACCATGTGGACAGACAGAATCCTGATTCAGACCATGTAGATAAAAAACCCAGATTCAGACCGTGTGGACCAAAGAACTCCGGATTCAGACCGTATGTCCAGTTTGAGACCATGTGGACAGACAGAATCCTGATTCAGACCATGTAGATAAAAAACCCAGATTCAGACCGTGTGAACCGAAGAACTCAGGATTCAGACCGTATGTCCAGTTTCAGACCATGTGGACAGACAGAATCCTGATTCAGACCATGTAGATAAAAAAAACCCGGATTAAGACCGTGTGGACCGAAGAACTCCGGATTCAGACCGTATGTCCAGTTTCAGACCATGTGGACAGACAGAATCCTGATTCAGACCATGTAGATAAAAAGAACCCGGATTCAGACCGTGTGGACCGAAGAACTCCGGATTCACACCATATGTCCAGTTTCAGATCATGTGGACAGACAAAATCCTGATTCAGACCATGTAGATAAAAAACCCAGATTCAGACCGTGTGGACCGAAGAACTCCGGATTCAGACCGTATGTCCAGTTTCAGACCATGTGGACAGACAGAATCCTGATTCAGACCATGTAGATAAAAACCCCAGATTCAGACCGTGTGGACCAAAGAACTCCGGATTCAGACCGTAAGTCCAGTTTCAGACGATGTGGACAGACAGAATCCTGATTCAGACCATGTAGATAAAAAAACCCAGATTCAGACCGTGTGGACCGAAGAACTCCGGATTCAGACCGTATGTCCAGTTTCAGACCATGTGGACAGACATAATCCTGATTCAGACCATGTAGATAAAAAAAACCCGGATTCAGACCGTGTGGACCGAAGAACTCCGGATTCAGACCGTATGTCCAGTTTCAGACCATGTGGACAGACAGAATCCTGATTCAGACCATGTAGATAAAAAGAACCCGGATTCAGACCGTGTGGACCGAAGAACTCCGGATTCAGACCGTATGTCCAGTTTCAGACCATGTGGACAGACAGAATCCTGATTCAGACCATGTAGATAAAAAACCCAGATTCAGACCGTGTGAACCGAAGAACTCCGGATTCAGACCGTATGTCCAGTTTCAGACCATGTGGACAGACAGAATCCTGATTCAGACCATGTAGATAAAAAACCCAGATTCAGACCGTGTGGACCGAACAACTCCGGATTCAGACCGTATGTCCAGTTTCAGACCATGTGGACAGACAGAATCCTGATTCAGACCATGTAGATAAAAAACCCAGATTCAGACCGTGTGGACCGAACAACTCCGGATTCAGACCGTATGTCCAGTTTCAGACCATGTGGACAGACAGAATCCTGATTCAGACCATGTAGATAAAAAACCCGGATTCAGACCGTGTGGACCGAAGAACTCAGGAATCAGACCGTATGTCCAGTTTCAGACCATGTGGACAGACAGAATCCTGATTCAGACCATGTAGATAAAAAAAACCCGGATTAAGACCGTGTGGACCGAAGAACTCTGGATTCAGACCGTATGTCCAGTTTCAGACCATGTGGACAGACAGAATCCTGATTCAGACCATGTAGATAAAAAACCCGGATTCAGACCGTGTGGACCGAAGAACTCCGGAATCAGACCGTATGTCCAGTTTCAGACCATGTGGACAGACAGAATCCTGATTCAGACCATGTAGATAAAAAGAACCCGGATTCAGACCGTGTGGACCGAAGAACTCCGGATTCAGACCGTATGTCCAGTTTCAGATCATGTGGACAGACAGAATCCTGATTCAGACCATGTAGATAAAAAACCCAGATTCAGACCGTGTGGACCGAAGAACTCCGGATTCAGACCGTATGTCCAGTTTCAGACCATGTGGACAGACAGAATCCTGATTCAGACCATGTAGATAAAAAACCCAGATTCAGACCGTGTGAACCGAAGAACTCCGGATTCAGACCGTATGTCCAGTTTCAGACCATGTGGACAGACAGAATCCTGATTCAGACCATGTAGATAAAAAACCCAGATTCAGACCGTGTGGACCGAACAACTCCGGATTCAGACCGTATGTCCAGTTTCAGACCATGTGGACAGACAGAATCCTGATTCAGACCATGTAGATAAAAAACCCAGATTCAGACCGTGTGGACCAAAGAACTCCGGATTCAGACCGTATGTCCAGTTTGAGACCATGTGGACAGACAGAATCCTGATTCAGACCATGTAGATAAAAAACCCAGATTCAGACCGTGTGAACCGAAGAACTCAGGATTCAGACCGTATGTCCAGTTTCAGACCATGTGGACAGACAGAATCCTGATTCAGACCATGTAGATAAAAAAAAACCCGGATTAAGACCGTGTGGACCGAAGAACTCCGGATTCAGACCGTATGTCCAGTTTCAGACCATGTGGACAGACAGAATCCTGATTCAGACCATGTAGATAAAAAGAACCCGGATTCAGACCGTGTGCACCGAAGAACTCCGGATTCAGACCGTATGTCCAGTTTCAGATCATGTGGACAGACAAAATCCTGATTCAGACCATGTAGATAAAAAACCCAGATTCAGACCGTGTGGACCGAAGAACTCCGGATTCAGACCGTATGTCCAGTTTCAGACCATGTGGACAGACAGAATCCTGATTCAGACCATGTAGATAAAAACCCCAGATTCAGACCGTATGGACCAAAGAACTCCGGATTCAGACCGTAAGTCCAGTTTCAGACGATGTGGACAGACAGAATCCTGATTCAGACCATGTAGATAAAAAAACCCAGATTCAGACCGTGTGGACCGAAGAACTCCGGATTCAGACCGTATGTCCAGTTTCAGACCATGTGGACAGACATAATCCTGATTCAGACCATGTAGATAAAAAAAACCCGGATTCAGACCGTGTGGACCGAAGAACTCCGGATTCAGACCGTATGTCCAGTTTCAGACCATGTGGACAGACAGAATCCTGATTCAGACCATGTAGATAAAAAGAACCCGGATTCAGACCGTGTGGACCGAAGAACTCCGGATTCAGACCGTATGTCCAGTTTCAGATCATGTGGACAGACAGAATCCTGATTCAGACCATGTAGATAAAAAACCCAGATTCAGACCGTGTGGACCGAAGAACTCCGGATTCAGACCGTATGTCCAGTTTCAGACCATGTGGACAGACAGAATCCTGATTCAGACCATGTAGATAAAAACCCCAGATTCAGACCGTGTGGACCAAAGAACTCCGGATTCAGACCGTAAGTCCAGTTTCAGACGATGTGGACAGACAGAATCCTGATTCAGACCATGTAGATAAAAAAACCCAGATTCAGACCGTGTGGACCGAAGAACTCCGGATTCAGACCGTATGTCCAGTTTCAGATAAGTGGACAGACAGAATCCTGATTCAGACCATGTAGATAAAAAACCCAGATTCAGACCGTGTGAACCGAAGAACTCCGGATTCAGACCGTATGTCCAGTTTCAGACCATGTGGACAGACAGAATCCTGATTCAGACCATGTAGATAAAAAACCCAGATTCAGACCGTGTGGACCGAACAACTCCGGATTCAGACCGTATGTCCAGTTTCAGACCATGTGGACAGACAAAATCCTGGTTCAGACCATGTAGATAAAAAAAGTCCATATTCAGACCTCGTGGACAGGGGGAGTCTGACTTAGGACCGTGTGATCGTGTGGAACAATGAAATCCTAGTTCAGAGCGCGTGGAACCAAAAAATCTAGAATAAGACCATGTGGACCGACTGAAACCGATTTCAGACCATCTAGACCGATAGAATTCTGATAAATCAGACCGTGTGAACCAAAGAAAAATGTGTTCAGACCACTTGGATCGAAGGAGTTGATTCTAGGAATGTGCGGATCAATGGACCCTGGTTCACACAGAGTGGCCGAAAGAGTCCAGATTCAGACAGTATAGTTTGTGGTTTTGGACCTTAAGGACAAACATATTCGGTTTCAAAATTCGGTAAAAAATATGTTTTTATCTGTTTGTAAATTTTTGTAAATTTTTGTAAATACTGTATTAAAGAATATATGTGTATATTTTTGTTTGATGTAAGTAAGTATGATTTTATGTGTGTATGTATACTGTTTAATTTGTGTATATATGAATATATGTGTGTAAAAGTAGGCATGTATGTATGTGAATGTAGGTTTCATTGATCGTTTTAGTAAAAACTTTCAATACAGTTTTTACATTCGTATTCTTTTATCTTCCTTAGCTTAGTTATTGTTTTAGGAAGTGCACTTTTATAAGATTTTAATCATTATAATCCGTTTTTAATCATTTCTAATCGATTATATTTGAAATTTATGGAGACTGATAATAAAAATCCACTATAAACGATTTTTTTTTACTGAGTGTGGACAACTTCTGGACTCAATTCGGTCGTTAGCTTTTATGAAAATTCGTCCACGCCCTCGAGAATATCCTGAATTTCCCCTGTACCTTCATATCTATATCTATTCTTCATTAATATATCATAATTTTCAATATGCATAGTCTATGTGCAAGGTTTATATTATCAAAAACAAAAGCTGCGGACACCCTAACTTTACACAGATCATTACTCAAACCTTTGAAAATCTTGGAACTTTTTGAAAAGTACTTGAGGTAGGTTTCATTCGCCAAAAAACAGCTTGAAAGCTGTTCGAAAAAAATGTTTGTGATGGTTTCGAAAGTTTTTCAATTGCAATTTTTGTTTTTGAGTTTTTTTCGCACTTCTTTCATAGTTTTAAAACTCGGCTTTCTCTCCTCAAGTGTAAACGAAAGAACTTCTGCTTGACTTTTTCAATTTGAAGACAAGAATTGAAATTGAAATTCAAACAATTGGTCCGTGAAATGAGGAAAGAGGCAGCCAAGCGATTAGGAAGTGTGAACGAGTCCCTTTGTGAAGAAGTTGGATTAATTTCACCCAGACACAGTACGAACAACGAACAGCCCACTTTCACTTCGACTCCCAGTGACATTCTGACATTTTTCAGCGACGATGAAAGCAGAATCTCCACGATCGCAAATTAAAAACGATCGGAAAATGGGATACAAGTTCGAGTTGTGGAAGAGTTTAGATTTAAATCACCAATATAATTGAGAATATGAGATACAAATGACCAGTTTTAGAGATGCAATTGACTAGTTTCAAATAAAATTTGTTTTTTCAATGGAATATAAATTTTATTATTGAGTTTATGTGCGGGGTGGCTCACTCATAGAGTGATCTCAGATAAGGTACACCGTCTATTTGTCACGCTTAACTTCGGCCGGATAGATTCGTGCAACTTCTTTGTCTAATAGCAATCCTAATCTTACTCTTACATCTCCTAGTCTCAATAGATCTAGTGTGTACTGGTAATTGCGATGTTAGACATCAAGAACTGTTCTAGAGATGAACAACTATTTGCTAAAAATAACTTCATTCTGTTCTTAGGCAGAAACCATAAAGAGCTTCAGCCTTACAATCTACTGTAAGTATTACTTATGGATCATGATTGGGTAGTAAGAAGTATTTCATAGAGATAGTTTTATCAATAATATAACTGGATATAAGAACTAGTTTAAAACAAGACCTGAGATATGCATAAAAGTGCGTTTCAGGTCCTGAAACGCACGTTTATGCATGTCTCAGGTCTTCCCTCCGCCATATTTTGATTTGAAAAAACCAACTTATAAAGTTTTTGGTTTTTTATCAAAATATGGTGGGGGACGACCTGAGACATGCATAAACGTGCGTTTGAGGCCCTGAACCGCACGTTTATGCATGTCTCAGGTCTTCCCCCACCACATTTGATAAAAAACCAAAACTTTATAAATTGGTTTTTTTAAATCAAAATATGGCGGAGGGAAGACCTGAGACATGCATAAACTTGCATTCCAGGACCTGAAACGCACGTTTATGCACGTCTCAGGTCTTCCCTCTGCCATATTTTGATTTAAAAAAAAACAATTCATAAAGTATTTGGTTTTTTATCAAAATATGGTGGGGGAAGACCTGAGACATGCATAAACGTGCGTTTCAGGCCCTGAACCGCACGTTTATGCATGTCTCAGGTCTTCCCACACCATATTTTGATACAAAACCAAATGTTTATAAATTGATTTTGTAAATCAAAATCTGATGGGGGGAAGACTTGAGACATGCATAAACGTGCGTTTCAGGCCCTGAAACGCACGTTTATGCATGTCTCAGGTCTTCCCCATAATAATTCGAAAAAAAAAAAACAATTTATAAAGTATTTGGTTTTTCATCAAAATACGGTGGGGGAAGACCTGAGACAAGCATAAACGTGCGTTTCAGGGCCTGAAACACATGTTATGCATGTCTCAGGTCTTCCCCCACCATATTTTGATTTAAAAAACAAATACTTTCTAAATTGGTTTCTTGAATCAAAATAACATGGGGGAAGACCTGAGACATGCATAAACGTGCGTTTCAAGCCCTGAAACGCACGTTATGCATGTTTCAGGTCTTCCAGTACCATATTTTGTTTTAAAAAACCAACTTATAGAGTATTTTGGGGAATCAAATATGAGAGAAGACCTGGGACATGCATAAACGTGCGTTTCAGGGCTTGAAACCCACATTTATGCATGTCTCATGTCTTCCCTCATCATACTTTGATTAAAAAACCAATTTATAAAGTATTTGTTTTTTTATCAAAAAATGGTGGGGCAAGACCTGAGACATGCATAAATGCACGTTTCAGGCCCTGAAACGCACGTTTATGCATGTCTCAGGTCTTCCCCCATCATATTTTGATACAAAACCAAATGCCTTATTAATTGGTTTTTTAAATCAAAATATGGCAAAGGGAAGACCTGAGACATGCACAAACATGTATTTCAGGCCCTGAAACGCACGTTTATGCATGTCTCAGGTCTTTCTCCACCATATTTCAGAAAAAAAAAACAATTTATAAAGTATTTGGTTTTTTTTACCAAAATACGGTGGGGGAAGACCTGAGACATGCATAAACGTGCGTTTCGGGCCCTGAAACGCACGTTTATGCATGTCTCAGATCTTCCCCCCATTTTTTTGATTAAAAAACCAAATACTTTATAAAATGGTTTTTTCAATCAAAAAATGGTGGGGAAGACCTGATACATGCATAAACGTGCGTTTCATGGTCTGAAGCGCACGTAAATCCATGTCTCAGGTCTTCCCCCAACATATTTTG